ATTTATTTTGATTTCAAAATTAACATAAACAATACAAAGTGATTTTTCAATGTCATACTGGCATCGTTTTAAAGTTTTAAAATTGCAATTTGATTGATAGAGGTTATGGGAGGCATGGTGGCCTCCTGGTTTGTGTACTTGCCCCCGGATAGAGCAGCCCAACTCTACAAGGTCTATATGGGGAGGCACTACCCTGAGGTCCAACCCCTTACCTTTTGTATACCATTTTGACAGAAAGGTAGTCCTTTCGTATACCTTTAATTGAAAAAGCTACCCCTTGTACATACATTATAACTGGCTCGAGTTATGAATAAAATTGCCTAAAAAGGAAGTCTTCTGGTTATGTTCAGGTAGTTCCCAGTAAATGAAATGACACAGCCGTAAACTAGGTAAGTCTGTTTGAAATATTTTAATTAAAGATCCTTTAAGTAACTAAATGACAGATTTCCCTACCCTTTCATATACCTCAACTTGTGAAATCCCTGCCCATATTATATACTTGTATACCTTATAAGCCTAAAAACTTTTCCCCTTTTGGGTGGAGCCTCCCGCTATAGGCCATTATAGGGAGTACCCCCTCTCAAGGGGTTTGAACCCTGGTTGGGAACATTGTGTTGTGTTCTTGGGCAGGAGACTTTTCTCTCACAGTGCCTGTCTCCACCCAACCAGGTGTATAAATGGATACTGGCAAATTTAATGATGGCGGTAACATTAAGATGGACTAGCATCTCATCCAAGGGGGTGGGGGGGATAGAATTGCTCCTAGTGCTAGTGGCTTCAAGTTACAGAAACGGGAGATAAGTGCAGGCCTGATGGGCTACTACAGTAAAACCCGCAGATAAGATCCTAGAATTTTCGAGGTCATGCTGAACAGTATGGAGGTATATCTCTGACAAAATTCAATACTCAGTAATCGATATCAAATCATCCAAATTGTACATGCATCAATCCAACTAGCCGATTCTATAAATAGTCATTACGCAAACAGGCATCACGCTAAAAGGGCTTCATGCTAAAAAGCATCACGCTAAAAGGCAATACGCTGAAAGGCATCACTCAAAAAGGTATCACGCTTAAAGAGATCATGCGAAAAGGCATCACGCTGAAGGGCATCACGCGAAAAGGCATCACGCTTAAAGAGATCATGCGAAAAGGCATCACGCTGAAGGGCATCACGCGAAAACGCATCACGCAAAAAGGCATCACGCTCAAAGGTATCACGCGGAAAGGCAGCCGCTAGGCTCGATTACCAGCCGCTGTTCGGGAAAGGAGCCCACAACATAGAAACATTCCGTCTTTGCCCCCTCGCGAGGTCTTAATTCAGTACAGGAGGCGTACCTTGAGAGAGTTAATACAGCAAATGAGCAATGGAATTGAAAACGATTGCATTTCTTTCCGATCTGTGAGATCCGAATATTTTTCAAGATGGCGGACAAGTGCTGGGCGTTCTTCGCATGACATTGGCCATAGTACAAGTACCTCCTGAACATGAATTCACTACTGCAACTACACCTCTGGCGCGAGAGGGAGATTGCGTGTAATCTGTGTTATATTTGAGGGATGTGGTCAATTGGGCAGTTAACCCCCAAAAAACTTGTGCACAGGATAATT